AGTGCATTTCGTCCGGCAGGAAATGGATGCTTATAGATTGTACACGGTTAGTTTTCCGATCTTGTGGAATATCGAATCTAAACTCGTTCTCAACAATTTCCAGGGTGCTTACTGAAACTCTAGTAATCTTATCCAAGATGTCTTAAAAGCGGATTCCTACAAATGTTTGTGTTGAAACCTATCGATGTCTGAACAAGCTTAACCATATTTTGTATTTCATATTATTGCTCAGACATTTCTCAGATTTTTCTGTGGTTAAAGCTGGAGACTCGCCAAATAGGCACGAATGGTCTCTTTGTTGAAATTTGTGATCTGCAAGTTCTTCACGTCTATAGTTAAAGATGAAAACCTAGCAGATGGGAACACATGGTTTCTTTGTCGAACTGTGTGGTTATAGGATATCTCTAGTTTGCAAGTACATGAGATTAGAGAATCCATGTTAATGTTCTGTCTATCCCTCGTCTTTGCAGGTGGTTCCGTATCTCCTAAAATTTCTTGATAATTTAACGAATATCTATGTGCGGTTCAATCGGAAGAGGCTAAAAGGCCGTACTGGTGAGGGGGATTGCAGAACTGCTCTTTCAACTCTGTACTATGTAAGCTTCCATCTCGTACTGTTTTAGTAGATCTCGAGCTTCACATGTTATGTACTGTGATGGTGTGGTTTTGGGATCTGTGCCTGATTATGTTCAAAGATTCAACTTTTACTCTTCCTTGTTAAGTTCTTTTTGTGACCGAATCGGTGTAGCATTACACATTAGTATGGAAGAAATATGTGATGAATGAGACTCATATGTTATGGTACTTGATGCATTTCATATGAATATTGGGCTTGAAGCCCACTCTCAAGTCGCAGCAAGAAGTAGCTTCTTTCTTTGTTGTGCCTTTAATACTTTTGTCCCGCTATGAATTGGAGCTGTTCTGCCAGTGCTTTCTAACACATTAAGTCTTCAATATGATAGGTGCTTTTGACTTCATGTAAAGCAATGGCACCGTTAACTCCTTTTTTCACTGAGGTTCTTTACCAAAACTTGCGGAAAGTTTGCAAAGGATCAGAGGAGAGCATTCACTATTGCAGCTATCCTGAAGTGGAAGGAAAGGTACATATGATTTCCTACTTTTTCTTGCCGTTCATCAAATATGAAGTGCAGAGTTTTGCTATCTTCTCTGGCTCAAGTTTGTTTCATGAATGTTTAAAATCATTTCAGAGGTGGGAGCGTATTGAGCAGAGTGTTAATAGGATGATGACAATTATTGACCTTGCACGGAATATTCGTGAGCGTCACAATAAGCCTCTTAAAACCCCGCTCAGGTTGAGCCTCTGCACTTTTCTCTTTCCCCATCCCCACAGAACAAAAAGCAAAAGTTCATGTTGGTCTGGTCTTCTTTCAGGGAAATGGTGGTTGTACATCCAGATTCAGAATTCCTTGATGATATTGCGGGCAAACTTAGAGAGGTCAGTGATGGTCTTAGCTTTACATGCATTTCCGTTCTGATGCCTTTAAACTGTTAATTAAACAATTATTCTATTGCTATACGACATTATTTTATTATTCCTATTTAGTTAATTAATATATTAATGTGATAAAGTCGGAGCACATTTGAGAGTCAATTCTAGGTTTGTTATCCAAAAGCAGTTCCACATTTATACTTAAGTGAATTTTTTGTGCAATTTGATATCTACTAATGCTAAATTAATTAACAAGCACATTGAGTGTACTCAAATGAACCAATAGTGAGTTGCATGCCCAAGTTCTTGCCTTCCGTTGTTGGTTGTTTTTTCTGAAGGTAAGGCCAATTTGGTCACTGAAAGGTGTTTCATGTTTGGTTTTATTTCCACCAGTAATCATTTTTATTTTAGTTAAAGTTCAGCATTAAAACGAAATGAATCTTGGCTAGTTAAGGTATTCTGAAACAAACTTTCTCAAAAGAGGAAGAATATGGAATTCAGAGGTGCAGGTGAGGTAGGTTGGAGAATGGAGAAACGGAACAATTTGGGAGTTGGAGGATGGATAGGCTGCTGGAGTGGNGGGGGGAATGATGTTTTTGGGGCGTGAGTTGCATATGGTGGTTTAACAGTGCTGCTAAAGGAACTTATTATATGAAACATTAAGCCCTAAAACTAGGTGCAGCATATGGGAAGCGCTTCTCCTCACATAGGTAGCAATACTCTAATTTTATTGAAGAATATGTTAGTGATTAGGAAAGAAGCAGAAATTTTTGACCCGTTTTGACATGAAAACAATTGGGTTTTTTCTTAGAAAGTTGCCACTCCTATTGTCTTTTGTTTTTTTTCTCCGAAACCAAAAAAACTTTTTTTTTTGCTTTGGAAACCCCTGAATAGGACGTTTGTCGATTTTCAGATTTTGGAACATTGCACTTATGCCCCAAAAGGCAATAACTAGATAAGCATAAAAAGGTTTAGGCTTTTTGTGATATACGTTAGCAATAACCACTTCTCTCAAACAGCAACAATAACTACTGCTATGCCTCAATGTCAAGCTTGTAGGAGCCAATTCATGAATCCTCTATATCCATTCTGCTTTATATGGGCTTATGTACCTCACCTGTTTATCGTTGAGGCTTCAAGTGTTTATGTTGGAATCAGTTTCCTTCCTGATTGATGATTTCCTGTCCCAGGTTGATTTTTTTCGTTTTTTTAGGACCAGATCGCATCTAAAGAAAAATATTTCTACAGTTGCACTTTGCAGTAATTTAGTTGTATACTTGTATTTACTGAAGGGCCTCTGTGGTTTGGGTTTGGTACCCGTTTTAATAAGTTTATCTGATTAAATTGGGTTCCTTATTCACAATAAACTTTGGCTGATGAAGATGAAGTCCTACTTTTTGAGCTGGTAACTCACTTCAACAGAACTGAATATCTGATCAATTATCTAATATCAACATTTAGAGTAATGATGTATAATTATCATAAACCTGACCAAATGGTCTATTTTCCTGCGTTAGTATAATTATGTTCGTTTTTGTTTTACTTTATGTTTTCTGTATTATGTATCTTGTTTAATTTTTAATGGTTGGTTGCTTTTGTGATGCAGTTTGTGCTCGAGGAGCTAAACATTAAGTCTTTGGTCCCATGCAATGACACGTTGAAGTATGCTTCTTTGCGCGCAGAGCCAGATTTCAGGTGATCTAGATGTTATGTGCCAAGTTTGTCTTCATTTGTTGTTCTCTGAATTAACCTCATTAACTGGTCGTTACCTCAGTGTGTTAGGAAAAAGGCTGGGAAAGTCGATGGGAGTTGTTTCCAAGGAAGTTAAGGCCATGTCAACAGAAGATATTATTGCTTTTGAGAAAGCGGGAGAAATTACTGTCGCTTCACACACTTTGAAGCTTAGTGATATCAAGGTGAATATGATTTTTGATAGTCTTTACTCGCCAGTGTTGTCAAAGGCGCGCTTAAAGCGCGCTTATGCAATAAAGCGAGGCTCAAAACATGTTGAGCGCTTCGCCGCGCTTTGCGGGCGCTTTAGTGTCGCATCAAGGCTCTAAGGCATACTTTTCCTTGCCAATGAGTGTAATCCTGAAAATGAGACACTGAACAAATGATATTTCACTTTATCGTTATTTTTTCTTCAATTTTTTTTGTCCATATATTTGTTATTCATGCTTATAATTATTGGTCTTGGACTACATATATATATATATATATATATATTTTACTTTTTCTCCAGTTGTGCATTTTTTCATTAAAACCCACGCTTTATCTGCTATGGGTTTTCTTTGTTGGGTATACCAAAACTGGGGACAAAGGTAGAGTAGGTCAATTGCCTGTCAGGACCAGAAATGAAGGAAAAAGTGGCAACTGAAGAAGCAAAGATTCCTTTAAATTTATGCTGGCCCAAGTTAGTAATTCATAGATAGGTTAATATGTTATTCTGTACTTCGGCTCAGTATCTTCAGGTTAGATACATTGAGTCTTGAGAAATGTTTTCTTTATGATCTGGTTCTTTTAATTGTGTTGATTGAAGTATTTTCCCTACTGTGACACAAGCTTTATTGAAATAATTGTGGTAAAGTTGAATAAGGTTGCTGCTAAAGAATATAAGCATGAAATTGGTCCTAGCTATCTAGTTTTGAAGTATGTGGTGAAATTGTTTCTAGCACATAATCTTATGCTATGGGTTTGAAACCACTAGAGATTAATGATGAAGTAAGATATCATAGGAAGTGCTTTACTTTGGTTCGTGTGAAAACCTTTGTTTGTTCAAGGAAACCTCAAGGAGAAGTCTTTGAGTAAGGGCTGTTTTTGCTGTTTATAATGGTTGTTGAAAAAGAAGATGAAAGCTGAAAGTCAAAATATCTTTAAGATAGAGGTTTTATATTTCAAAGTTGATCTAGTTCTATTTTGAAGGAAGTGGATTAAAGAACCAACTCCTAAATATTCTAGACTCCTAATTCTTGTCATTGAATAAAGTAGTAAAACTTTGAAATAAAATATCTATAGAAAGTACCTAATACGTATGAGTTTTGGATGCTACAACAGACAAGTGCAATATTGATTTGAAGCAGGAGTTTCGATTTTATTTTGCTCATCTTAATATTCAAAATTCTCGGGAAGAGGTTTCATTGCTTATTGTGCACCTCTGGCACTGCATCAAATGCTTGAACTATTATTATTATGATTATGATGAGTATTCTTTATTATTATTATTTTATTATTATTATTATTATTATTATTATTACTACTACTACTACTACTACTACTATTATAACCTCATTATTACTATAATTATTATTTTTGCATAAGATCTTTAATGCACTTGTAGATTGTTCGGGGTTTCAAGCGTCCTGATAATAGGAAAGAGAATGAAATGGATGCGGCAGGGGACGGTGAGCATCTCCTCCTTCACGAGCTTAGATATTTATGTTTCATCTGATTTCTTATAGTTTTATCCATTTGTTGCACATACAGGTGATGTTTTAGTGATACTGGATTTGCGTACTGATGATTCACTGTTTGAGGCTGGAGTTGCTCGGGAGGTATTCCGAAGTCATTCCCAATGCGATTAATGGCAGCTATTATCGAGTTTTTACTTGTATTTTGATTGGTTACTGTTGTGTTGGGAGATTCCTGATGAGTGGCTTTCATGCCGAACTCTGCTTGCAGGTTGTGAATAGGATACAGAAACTGAGAAAGAAAGCCGCGCTTGAACCCACTGACTTGGTAGAGGTCTTCTTCAAATCTTTGGACGAGGATAAAACAGTCTCTCAGCAGATTTTGGAGTCCCAGGTAACTTTTGAGGTCCACAGTATTACTTGATGTTTCCTATTTTTTAGCTACCTCGCTCTGTGAAATCTGCCCTTCCTGATAGAGAAATCTAGAGTCTGAAGAGACTGAAAACTTAAATTTCATATGGTCAAACTATATAGTTCTTTAAGAAAGAGAACTAATCTATTTTTGAGGTTGAAAGGGTTATTTAATGGAAAGTGAAGTTCCAGGGGGATGACAATCATTAAGTGTTGGAGCCCAGAGGGGCTTTTTCGCTTCTGCAAAAAATAAATTATTCATGTAGCTCAATGTTCTTCAAGAAGCGGTTTCTGTGGACTTTAAGATTCTTGGGTTTCTGTCTTATATGTTGGGCTTAGTCAGCCATATTCTACATATTTCTTTTTTGATTCTTTTGCACAAATTTCTGATTACCTTTACTGAGTAGCTCAGTGCCCCATCAGGCTTTAGAGGCTGGTGCATGCTTACTTCTGTTGCCAAAACCTAACATGTTTGTCTCTTCCTTTCTCCACCTTTTTTTTGGCGTTACAGGAATCATATATTAGAGATGCCCTTGGGTCTCCTTTGCTTCCTGCCGACCTGATCCCATCACATGCAGTAAGTTCGGACTCCTCTTCCTCGTTTAGGTCTTTGTGAGCTCTATCCAAGTGTACCATGTTTATGTGTATTAATTTTAGAGCTGGTTTCTCCCTTGAATTCAACTCTTACAATTAGAATGAAAAATTGTCGCTTATGAAATATTACTGTAGTTTCTTGTACACCGGTTAACAAGTTTGGTAAGTTGCAGATGACAATTGATGAAGAGAGTTTCCATGGAATCTCCAGCTTGTCGTTTGTGATTACGTTAGCAAGACCAAGTCTAGTGTTTAATTCAGATGCCATCACTGCTTTATATGGAGGTTGCATTTGAGATTCTTGTTTCGGAAATTTTAGTGATTTTGAGGTGGTTTTCTGTTTCTAAACCATCTTCATCTTGCAGGAAACACACAGTATTCTCAAGGCTTACAAACATACCTGCTGATGAGGGATCACCATAACTTGAAGTCAGAGTTTCAACAAGGAAAGGGCAAGGTTTGTACCACAAAAACTTCATAATGCTAAATTATGTGACCATCTCATCTAAGTTTTAGATGGTCACAAAATTCAACTTGGTATTAGAGCATACTTNTTTTTTTTTTTTTGGTTGAGGAAGGTAACAAATTGATTTTTGACACCACTTATTGCAACCTTGCAGATAACAGTAAAGTGCATTGAGAATCAGCCTCCAGTTGAGGTGTTTCTGGGAAAGCATGTCTTCTTGAGTGTTGGAGATTATTTCTTGAACAGGAAATCACAGTAACAGAGACCAATACTCGGCCAAAATAATTTTTGACAAGAAATCCAAAGTTACAAGTCTTCCCAATTTTTTTAAATTATTGTGTATTTGCCTCATCCCTGCACACTTCTATTGCGACAGATCTGTATTGTAATTGCCTTCTTGGCCATTTTAACACGGAGTAGTGTTACGTGAATAACAATTTTGATTAATTGTCTTCTGGTTGTGGTGTTAACAAATAGTATGTACAAGTTTTTCATGCTCTTCACTTAGTTGAACTAATTTTCTACTAGGGGTTTGTTCGATGTGCGTCAAATGAAGTAAGACGTTCTATCAGGAATCATTTCGTATTTATCTATTTCATTAATGGAGTCCGAAAGGTTGTTTTCGAAAGACCCTCGATTCGAGAGGATAAATAGAAACAAGCAAAATCTCAACAAAAAAGGCCAAAAAATAATACCAAGAATTGAAAAAATAGAAGGAAGAAAGCAATATATACTATAAAACCGAAGCGGAAGATAGTAAGAAAACAACCATAATACTAGCAATCTAAGAACAACGACAAGATACTAATAGACGAGCCCTAATAAAACCAGACGAATACGAAAAATGCCCGACTACCTGCTACCCTTTGTGAACAACAACAACGACAACAAAAAAAACCCAGTTTGATCCTATAAATGGGGTATATGGGATCTGGAAAGAGGATAGTGTGCATGCAAACCTTACCCCTACCTCATAGAAATTGAGAGGATGTTTTCGATAGAACCTCGGCTCAAGGAGCAATGAAGATAAAGCAACCAAGTAGCAAGAATGTAACATGGTAACCGGCGCGAATCCCAAATTCGGCCAAAACGAAGGAAAACATATTAACATATTAAAATATATATGTCTGATGTATTGATAATTATTGTGATGTTTTATTCTCACCCCTTTAAAACCAAGCACAATACTTCACTTAAACAATGTAGAAAACAAAATCAATAGAAATTAAGACAATAGACAGTACAAATAGAGTGGTACATTTTCTACTAATGATCCTACTTAATAGAGTCCATAACCCACAACTGGTTCATCTAAAGGCCCAAAAAGCAGATTGATAATCCAACAACCAAAAGGTAAGAAAGCCCATTTAAATTTGATGAAGCAGAAGGCAATGTTGGCCCAGCAGCTACAGCCATTGATCCAATATTCTGGGCCACATTTTGCTCTTTGGGCTGGATTTTTACAGGTATTTTCAGCCCATGTTTGCAGCTCTCTGTGTTCCCGCTAGCGAAGTACCTGATTCCTTCTCCTTCGAGTGAGATCTTATCTAAGCCGTCCGTATACATCTTGATCGGATTTGTTACATCACACGATGTAAATTCTTCCTCGTTTCTCAGCTCCACTACACTCTCTTGTGCTGCAGAGTAGGTGAACCCTGCTCATGTAATATGTAAATGATATAATAATATACTTTTTAGGAAACTATTTTTGACAAGCGTTTCTCTTTATTGATAACCAATTCATTTTGAAATATAGTTGGGAGACTTAAGCAAAGAAATGAGTAAAAAAACGAAAAGATCGGAATATGAGAATAGATCTGATGCCAATACAGACTACCTATTTCGATTGTTGTGCTCTCTGAAATTGCATACTTGTATAACGGTTCAAGTTTCTATCGATATTTGCCCAGTTGATTATCCCTTCTCGAAAACAAAGATTTAAAGTGATTTATAATTTACTGAGTGGTATAACTCACGTATTTTCGCCACCATCAAGAATTGTGGTGCGATAGATAAGATCCCTCCATCCTTAACCATAAATTTTTAACTTTTAATATTATAATAGCGCCACATAAAATGAAATAGAACGTATCCTAGCAAATTCTAATTTGACAATTTAGAGATAACGTATAATGAGACACGAATTTGAGCCGAGGGTTTATCGGAAACAGCCCCTCTGCCTATATCGGGGCAGGGGTAAGGTCTGCGTACACATTACCCTCCCCAGACCCCATTATGTGGGATTTTACTGGGTAGTTGTTGTAATATAATGAGACACCAAAGTAGTAATGGGTGAAAGAGACCATTCGCTACTATAGTTTAAAAAAGGGGATAATTTTTTCTGTAATTAATTTTTTTTATAATCGTGATGTTCTGGCCCGCTTATGCGCACCTCGAGTAATTCCAAGAAATTTCCCCGCAGTCAATATTTAAGCCAAACTATCCCAAAAATAGGCTGTCTTTATTCACTCTCTAACTTAAGTTATAGTTCAAAATTCAAATGGTACAATTAAAGACTGGATTCTCTACCTAACCTATGAGAGTTGAGACATTAATATTGGAAATATTCAAAAAATTATATGGAACTTTAATACTGGATTCATTTCATTTATGCATTGACGGCCAAACTAATATTAATCAATTTAGATGAATTTTAGAATAAATATTATAAATACAAGATCGTATTTTCAACTTCTACAGTATCATTTTGGTGCTTATTTGACTGATATTATATACTTCTGAAAAAAATGATAAATATTATAGAAATGCTAACAGAAAAAAAACTACTGGGATAGCAAGATAAATAATAATCTCAAAATCCAATTACTAATAAATCTTCATAAAGATAGAAAAAGGCATAGAAAAGTATGGTTGGTTACATGTTAGAGAAAATGACATTGTATAGCTGTTGTCAAAATAATAATCGTATATATACATTACGTATGTTATATACAAAAGTTATATAAATTTTATATATTTTTTTGAATAGTTTCTAGCGCGGTTAAAAGTGATAATACCATACATTTTAATCCTCGGAAGTCACATACTTTATATTTTTAGTAATAATTAAATAAGGCGTGGGCCAATTTTCCTGATTTCTATTTTTACTTTATTTTGGGACTTCGTGTAATAACTTATCTTTGTCCTTTTTCTTCAGAACACTCCCCGAAAATCTAACCACAATAGAAAACATGTTTTTTTAATATTCAAATGCTCACCCAATGAAAAAAAGTTTTTTATTTTATTTTATAAATACTCACAAGTTCAAAGTACAAGAGCAAATTCACTTTATTTTTCACGTAATTTTGAATAATTGTTTTTTGAACTTTTTGAATAGAATTTTACATTCAAAAGTTATACATATTCTTTCACGCCGAGGGTCTATCGGAATAAGCCTCTTTACCTTTACAAGGTAGAGATAGGGTCTTTGTATACATTATCTTTCCTAGATCCCACTCGTGAAATTTCACTGAGTACACTATTGTTGTATTTCAAAGTTATACATAAAAAGTGGAGATTATATTTCTTTTAATTCAAAATATTTGAAATATATTGCTTTTAACACCTAATAATCTCTTTTGAAACAACCAAAACCACATTTTATCATCTTAACTAGATAAGGTGATACCCTATATCTAGATAAATAAGTTGAAACCAATCAGACCAAACAATGCATTTTTTAATTGTGTTAGAAGAATTATTACATTATTATTATAATAACAACAACAACAATAGCAGAAAAATGACATTGTATAGCTGCTCTCAAAATAATAGCCGAATAAATATATATATTTTTTTTATATATATACATTTTGTATGTTATATACAAAAATTATACAAATTTTATATAATTTTTCGGCTACAGAATATAAATAGTTTCTGGTGTGGGCTAAAAGTAATAATATCCCAACAATTAACGACGTATGTCTCCATTAATATTGCACTCTAATATATTAAATTTAATTTGTTGTGGAAATCTGTCTTATGTTCTAGATTTTAATCTCACTTTTTCTATAGATATTTAATCTCTTGTTGTTGTCTTGAGCCGAGGGTCTCCTAGAAACAACCTCTTTGTCCTTCGGGTAGGGGTAAGGTCTGCGTACATATTACTCTCCCCAGACCCCAAATGTGGGATTATACTGGGATGTTGTTGTTGTTTTTCTATAGACAATTACATATATTTATTTTTTAATAATATGTTAGATTTTTTTTTACGCTACTAATGTATAAAAAATAAACTATATGTAGGAATATATTATAGAGTAAAAAGGAGAAGAAGAAAAACTCACAGATTTTGTCACCAACTCTGAAAATTCTACCAGAGGACCAAGAAGCAACATCAGAAGATGGGTCCCACCCTCTATCCTCTCCGACCACATGGTGCACCTGATCATCAACTCCGACCACCGTCGCCGCCGTGAGAAGAACAGCCGCCACCGCCACCGCCACAACCAGTAACTTCTTTGCACCCATTTCTATTAGTAGTAACAAATAGTACTAAGCTTGAGAGCAAAGCAAAGGCAAAGCTCTAAGCTTTTATCACTCTCAAGAAAGAGAGAGAAAATAAAGAAATGTTATTTTTGAGTTAAGAGAAGTGTGGGGCTTTGGGAATATAACCTTAGTGCCCGAGAGCGGGTATTATTATTTTTAGCCCGTGCCAAAAGTTATTTATATTCGACATCCGAAAAAATATAATACTTTTTTCAGCTATTATTTTGAGAGTAGCTATACAATGTCATTTTTCCTAAGAGAGTTAGTTCCCTCCAAGGTAGACGCCGTGGGTGATTTAACATTAGGCGTTTAGTCGGGACTTAGGATTTAAACTTAATACGTTCAACTTTAAATATTTTTTGTGCTCAACTTATCAAATTTTTGAATTTGGAGAGAGTCTGATTTAAGATTTAAATTTGATACGTTTAACTTATATAATATTTTTAGTTCAGAACTTATTATAGTTTTGAAATAGAAATTTAAAAATCAGTTTTTTGGGTTAAATTTAGTATCCATCAAGGAATGTGATGGATAAGTAAGATTTCTCTATCCTTAACATAATTTTTGTATTAGAGTACCGAGAATAATTTCTTGGTAGAGAGCGTCTCCCTTTTAATTGGCCCTACGATCTGAATTCAGACNCACATATTATGTATCGTAATTATTGTTTTACTTGGGGATCGTCTGGTTAGGAAATAAGTTATCCTGTAATTAAATATTCCGAGATTAGTTATTCCATCCTTTCATGGGGATAAAATAACACTACAATCCCCGGATAACTTATCCCAGAATTAGTTATATCACGATTTTATCTCAATCAAACCCAAGAAAAACTTATATTCTTAAATTTAATCCCGAAATTAATTATCTCTTATCCCTCGTACAAACGAGCCCTTAAACTTATTGTTCAAAATATCCATCAACCCCTATAGGTTGCAGGTAATTGAGGGTTTCGTGGTAGTTTCCTGAGAAATAGGACATACTACAAATAGAAGTGCAAGTAGTGACTGGTTGGTAAGAGAGTTACCTTTCAATTATTTTCATTTTTTTTGGCTGTAATTTTATCAGTTTGCCACATGCACTTTTTTTTTTTTTTTTAATCTAACTACCCACCATTGGTAAAGATTGTTACAACTCAATTGCTTTTTCATACCTAACATTTTACCCCGTTTTTGTCATTAGCTTTTAGTGGTGGTAAAGGTACCACAATACCAAGATTTTTTTATTCTCGTCCGATGTCCGGTACTCGCATTAGAGTTCGATTATATCTGGTTTCGCGCCGCATAGGACTCCATTCAAGAGGGAACGCTCCCAACCAAGAATATTTCCATACCCAGGGCTCCCTACAATATCAAGAATTTGACTTGGTGGGAGTTTGGACATAAGAATTGTAAATTTTCAAAAAAAAAGTGAAAAGAAAATTTCGGGTGAAAATGATATTTGAAAATTAGAGTTGTATTTGGACATGAATATAATTTTGGGTTGTTTTTTGAAGTTTTATGTGTGATCTGAGTGAAAATTTTGAAAAACAGTTTTTTGGAGTTTTTCAAATTTTCGAAAAATTTCAAAATTCATTTTCAAGTGAAAATTGAAAATTTTATGGCCAAATACTGATTTCGAAAATTAGTGAATATTTTTCGAAAAAAGTAAAAAAATTCTTATGTCCAAACGGGCTCTAATAATCAGTTGAGTTCTTTTTTACTTTTCGGTATCTACATAAAAGAAAAAAAATCAAGTGCAATTTACACTTTAGAACTCTCAGAACCCATTTGGACATAAGAAATTTTTTACTTTTTTCTGAAAAATTTACATTGTTTTTCGAAATTAGTGTTTGGCCATAAAATATTCAATTTTCACTTGAAGATGAACCTTGAAATTTTTCGAAAATTTTAAAACCTCCAAAAAGATATTTTTCAAAATTTTCACTCAGATCACTCACAAAAATTCAAAAACAACCCAAAATTATATTCATATCCAAACATAACTCTAATTTTCAAATACCATTTTCACATTTTTACTTGAAAAAAGATTTCACTTCAATTTGAAATTTTACAACTCTTATGTCCAAAAGCCCACTTATTTGTTTGTAGGAGTTTGGACAATATACTTCAACAATTAGCATTTGTAAATTGAAGCTGTGTTTAGATAGAAATTTCCCTTAAAACTAAAAGCTGGGGATTTGTGAGTGAAAATCATTATTTCACTTAAAATATTCCTCATATAATTTCATAATATTTTCAAAATTTTGAAAAATCATAATTTCGAGTTTATATACTACCTCTAATCAAGACTCACTTAGGTCCTTCATGACTGCATCATAATGGATCAACTTAATTTGAAATACTATTTTTACGACTTCCTGACCAAATTCGTCTACATTGTTGATTGTTCCTCAGCTTGTTAAATGGGTCAACCCAACTCGGACCCGAACCCATTGATTCTTGGCTCGTGGGTCTTTAATCGGGCCGGTCTGGTTCACTTTCTTATAAGAGCCGGTCCGGATTTGACCCATTAATCAAAACATATTGACCCGACCCGTAACCCGTAATCCCTTAACCCGAGTCCTAATGGGTCGAATCCAATTTAATTAAAAAAAGTTAAAAACTAATAAATGATAAAAAATTCAAATTTTACGCATATATAAACGAACTTGAAATTACTACATGTCCTTGAAGTGAGTTAGAATAAAAATGAAAGAAAAATCATACTTTATTAACATTAAGACTTGAGAAACATATGGAATTCGACTATTTCGACAAGACACCTCATAGTGTCTGGTACTATATTCTTTCTTCAATGTTTGGATTCAATTTTTTACCACTTGTCTGAATATATATATATGTGTACGTGTGTGTGTGTGTGAGAGAGAGAGAGAGAGAGAGAGAGAGCTGGTCCGGGCTGGTTGACCTATGGGTCAGCTACCGGTTCCGGTTCCGATCCGATTCCGGTTCAGTGGGTCAAAATATTATGGCCCGACCCAAGCCCCTTAAATTGATGGGTTGGTCCGATTAGGGTTTCGTGGGTTATGGACTGGTTAAAGGGTCAATTTTAATGGGTTATATGGGCCGGTTCGTGGGTTGACCCGGCCCATTTGACAGGTCTAATTATTTGTTCCTCATAAATGGTTGATCAAAATTCATCACCATAAACAAGAAGTTTTGATTCAAGCAGAATATAATATCAATCACTTAACGTTCAGCCAGTCGTAGATAAATGAAATTTAAATGACTTCATATTTTGCATAATTAAATAAAAATTAATTCTGAAGTTGTACGTTTGATGCTCGTTGTTTGCTACCCAAACTGCCACAATTACAAGATAACTATAGGCCAATTTATCAATAAAACAATTCATTCATTTTACGTGAAAATGAGATGTACACTCAAACGATGTATAGGGTGTAATATTTGTTCTTTAAGCAAAGAAGAAGAGACAGAAGAAATTGGAGACAAAATTAAGTGTTGAGCCAAAGTGTAGGGTTTGTTGCATATTAGGGAACGAGTAGTTATTGCTTTTTAATATATAGTTTTTGATAATTATATATACTCACCTCATGAGTTAGGCGCAATGTCACTATATGATGCTTATTCTTGGTTTTTCCTGTTTGAGACACCATGTTATATTATTCACGCTCGTTTAGTTTTAAACGCGTAGACAGAGGCGGATCTACCATGTGAAACATGGTTTACGTGAATCCGTGGTTCTCGGGTTAAAGTATGAATATGATGTACATAATTTGGAAAAAATAGATATATATACTTGATGGAACCCATGGTCAAAAGAGACTAAGTGATGCATTGGTTTTGGTCTGTTATTTCCAATAGTCAGGGGATCAAATCCCTTACCAACTTTTTGGTTTAATTTTTTTAAAAAAGTAATAGTGAACCCATCCTTCAAACATCCTGGATCCGCCTCTGCGCGTAGAGATAGAATGTTAAAATGTCGATTGTCGGCCTACATTACTTGAGAGAATGAGTAGTCTTCTTATATGATCTTTAGCAGTTTTCATCTTTTGAACTAACTTTTAGGATTGTGTTAGACAAATACCTTTTTTTTTATATGATAGCTGTGCTAACTAAAAAATTGAATCACGCAAAATCTGAAAAAATTCCCCAACCTAGGTTAGGGGATCATTAGACCGAAGCTTGCTGCTGAAAAATATTGCCAGAATAACACGCCGTACGAGATAGCAATAACAGGAAATTGACCGGTCGGAGGTTCGAGAAAGGAAAAATAACAAATCAAATAAGAAAGAGGGTTTACTAACATTATATTATGCAAATCTGAGAACTTTTCTTCCCCCTATTCCTTTAAGATTTATCTTATGTAGTGATTTAATCTTTGATCTTAATTCTAAACATATATATATATATATATATATATTAAGGTAATACAAAAGAGTATTAATTAAATATCTCGCAGTCCTTACATAATCAATCTGTTATTTGAGCATTTAAGAGCTAGGTGGATGTAATAATACTCCAATTTAATAACAAGCTCACTATATTTATATATTGAAGTATTTGGCGAGTTTTTTGGTACTCTGCCGAATCAATAATAGGTCCCCGCAGCCTAAGCCGTGGTCCATTTTGATTTTGTTGGTAGTACTTATTTTTATGTGTTGATGACATAGTACTATTATGCTGGTAAAAACTTATCCGTATTCGATATTTACGAATGACATGAGCAAGCTTATGAGTTAAATCGTTTATTATTTTACATTTCGTACGAGTTAATTGCACTAAGCTTTGATCAAATTTTAATGTAATTATTTCATAATTCAATTTGTCAAATTTCAGCTCATAATATTTTTTAGTAGCTTTCAAATGTTATTTTAAATATAAGAACTTTCTGCACATAATTTTTTGTCCAAAAGTTGATCGAATTAGTTTCGGAAAATAAAAGGCCGTTGAATTAATAATTATTGGGAATCTTATGGGAATGTATCAAAGAAAGACACTATTTATCAACAACTGGTCATTTTAGTCATACTACCAAAAATAACCCCAAAATTTTATAAATAATATACAACATTCAAAAAACATAAGTAATTTTTTTTTTCTTTCAACGGATATTGTTGCGATTCATTGAAAACCATAGATAAGGTAATATGCAAAATTTGACGAAGTTTGGAGACGAGCTAGACTAGTTTGGAGTCAAAATTCATTACCAATGATATAAATGGGAGGTGATTTGGTATCAAATTTCGTAGTTAAAATCGAGTTTAAAATATTTTTCTGCAACACATGTATCACGTATGTATCTCACACCCAGATATACATGGATATATAGGTGATACATATGTGATACACAAAGTGATGCACATATCATCTTTTTTCAAGTTCATCTTATACTCTGAATTTTCAATTCAAACCACTTTAGAACCCCACCAAATCATCACAAAATTGAGATCCAAACTCCTTAAGATGTACTCATTCTATTTTAATAACACCCACTCAAAAGAAAGTAAAAATTTGACTTTTTTTTTTGCACAAATAACTAATTAACTAATATTGATAGCATTTGGTTAATATTAGTAATATTTTATTAATTGGTCAATTTTTAGAATAAGTTACTTATAGGCGGACATAGCTAATAGTTTCCCATAATTATTCGAACATTAAAATTATACAAGTGAAAATTCAGCTCACTAATTATTCAAACTTTTAGAGGAGAGCATATGCAAGCAGAAATCCAGAGTACAATGGCCCAAATTAGGGGACTCAAACTCAGCTTATTTCTTTGCCAGCATCAAGAATAAGAGAGCTCAGAATCATATTAAATCACTTGCTAGTGCAACGGGTGAAATTATCCAATCAGAAAAGGGGATAGAGGAGGAGATTCTAGGTTTCTATAAGAACCTACTTGGGGCTGCAAATCCCACATTACCTGCTATACAATTAGATTTTATAAGGAGGGGATCTATCATATCAAGGGCACAACAGTTGCAGCTTATTCGACCATTTACCAGGAAAGAAGTTTGGCAAGCATTACAGGGGATTGGTGATAACAAAGCTCCAGGGATAGATGGATTTAACTCATTGTTCTTTAAGAAAGCATGGATCTCAATTGGAGATGAGGTAACTGAAGTTGTTCTAAACTTCTTTGACACCATGAAACTCTACCAACCAATATACTGCACATCCATCACCTTGGTTCCTAAAGTTAAAAGCCCTTCCTTAGTAAAACAATATAGACCTATCTCCTACTGCTCCACAATCTATAAGATCATGTCCAAAATGCTCACTAGCACACTCCAGGGATTATGGATAGCCTCATTGATGAGAGCCAGGAGGTATTTGTACCTGGCAAAGTCATAACTGATAATATTATCCTTAGCTATGAATTAGTGAAAGGATATGGGAGGAAAGGGGTGTCACCAAGATGCATAATCAAAATTGACATGCAAAAAGCTTATGACTCTATAGAATGGTTGTTCCTAGAACAAGTTCTAAATGATATGAACTTTCCTGAAATATTTGTTAGGTGGATCATGGTATGTATATCAACAGTCTCATACTCTATAGTCATAAATGGTAAATCAAGTGCTCCTTTTACTGCAAAAAGGGGAGTAAGGCAGGGTGACCCCTTGTCACCATTCCTGTTTGTGATAGCCATGGATTACCTCAGTAGACTACTAAAAACATTGAAAGATAATATCACGACCCTAAAACCTGCCCAGTCATGATGGTGCCAATCATGAAACTAGGTCAGCCGACACAAATTCCAAATCAAACCAGTATTTCATAAAAAGGAATTTTTTAAATATAAATTTACTAAAATCCCATAACATGCGTCTAAATAACAAGTGCGAAAAATAACATAAGCCCGACATCGGGGTGTCACAAGTCACGAGCAATTACAAGGTCTGTCTAAGTACAATAAAGTCTATCAAAGTCTGGGAACAATACTAATATAATCTAGGAAAGATAAGAGGGAGAAGAGCAGGGTTGTGAACGCCATGCAGCTACCTTGCCGACTCCAAATGACCCGTTGGATGAAGATCAATGCTCGCTATCAACCCGTAACTCATGGATCTACACACAAGGTGCAGGGAGTAATGTGAGTACGCCAACTCAGTAAGTAATAAAAGTAAATAAAAATTGAGCAGTAAGAAATTATATAATTCCACGTCATAGCACTACAACAAATACGGTATGGTTCCAAAATAGTGTAGAAATCAATTATCTCATAAAAACTCAGTTTCAGAAAAAATACTTTGAAAAATATCTTTCTACAGTTTCAACTGAGAATTTACAGAAGTGTAGAGTAAAAATGATGAAAATCATAATCAACCCCTCGGGCAAAAACATGTATCATAAATCGCCCCTCAGGCATAATATCAACAGAACCAACCCCTCGGGCTACCTCACAATCACTCGAAATCAGCCCATCGGGCATAACATGTATCAGAGTCAGCCCCTCGAGCAACAACATATCACTCACTCAGGGTACCCGCGCTCACTGGAGGTGTACAGAATCCGGAGGGACTCCTACAACCCAAGCGCTATCACAATCCATCTCATGGATAAATCAGGCCCTCGACCTCTCATATATCACAAAATAGTACAACCTACTGTGGCGTGCAACCCGATCCCATGATATCCTCACAACATAGGCCCTCGGCCTTACTCAGTCAGAAACCTCTCAAGCCACTCGGGATAACAGTAAAATAGGGTGCTTAGCCCAAAAATTTCATTTATGTATCAAATCAGAGTAAATAAGACTGAGTTATGAAATCAGTAAAACATAGCATGATTGAGTACAATTGTTAAATCAAAACAATGAGGAATTTCAGTAAAGAAAACCCCTAAGGGTCCAAACAGATGGCACGAGGCCCAAATATAGTATTCAGCCCAAAACATAGTAATACCTTCTAACATAAGATAATATCAAGTAGTTTCAGTCAAATACGCAACTTAATAGTTGCTACGGGACGGACCAAGTCATAATTTCCAACTGTGAACGGCCCTCACGCTTGTCATCTAGCGTGTGCGTCACCTCAAAATAGTACAACGATGTAAAATCCGGGGTTTCATACCCTCAGGACAACATTTACAATCATTACTTACCTCAAACCGGACCGAACTCTAACCCGCAATGCCTTTGCCTCTCTACCGGCCTCCAAATGCTCCAAATCTAACCAAAATCAGTATCACATCATTAATACATGCTAAAGGAACAAAGCCCAAGCAAAAATGATCAAATTAACTCGGAAATCCCGAAATTGGTCAAACCCGACCCCCTGGCCCACGTCTCGGAATCTGATAAAAATTACAACACTAGAATTCTTATCCACTCACGAGTCTATACATACCAAAACCATCAAAATCGGACCTCAAATGGCCCCTTAAATCCCCAATTTAAACTCTCCAATTTCAAGTCTTAATTCCCTAATTTTCACCCTTAAATCCTACAAATTCCAAGCTTAATCTACTGAAAATCATCATAGAATCGGGTATTAAGTTCAAAAATCTTATCTCAACAAGTTTCCCCTTGATTCCCTCTTCAAAACCCTCCAAGAGCTTCAATCCCAACTTCAAAAATGGTGGAATAGGTCAAATTTTGTGAAGGAGAATTTATATACTTTCTGCCCCAGGGATTCCGCACCTGCAGCCCATATCATGCTTCTGCGGACCGCTTCTGCTGTCAAATCAACCGCACATGTGGCTTTCACTTAAAGTCCCAGGACCGCATCTGCGACCAGGCACCGCACTTGTGGTCCCGCAGATGCTCCCAACCTACCACACCTGTGGTTCTTCTCCTGATGGCCCAATTCCGCATCTGCGGTCTCCCTCACGCACCTGCGACCTCGCACTTGTGGTCCCCAATCCGCAGGTGCGGTCATGGCAGAAGCAACAGCTTCAACTGCTTAAATCAAGTCCATTCTTTTCCGTTAACCATCTGAAATCATCCAAGGCCCCCGGAACCTCAACCAAACATGAAAACAAGTCACCTATCACCATTCAAACTTATTCCAATCTTCAAAACACTCAAAACAACCTCAAAACATCAAATCACCCTCGGATTTAAGCCTAAAGATTTCCAAACTTCCGAATTCCGCAAACGATGCCAAAACCTATCAAACCTCGTCCGAATGACCTGAAATTTTGCACGCACGTCCCAAATGACACAATAGACCTACTCCAATTCTAAAAATTTCATTCCCGATATCAAGATTTTTACTGCCGACCGAAAAATGCCAAATTTTCAATTTCGCCAATTCAAGCCTAAATCTACCACAAGCCTCCAAATTACATTTCGAACACGCTCTTAAGTCCCAAATCACCTAACGAAGCTATCCGAACCATAAAACCCCAATTCCGAGATCATTTACCCATAAGTCAACTTTCGATTGACTTTTCCAACTAAATAACCAACTTAAGAGACTAAGTGCCTCATTCCACTCTAGGACCACTCCAAACACAACACAACCAACACGATATGATGAAATACCACTGAACAACACACAAGGAAGCAGAAATGAAGGAAACAAGGTTGCAACATATGAAACAACCGGCCGGGTCGTTACAGATAATCTAGACTTTAACTATCACCCTCCATGTGAAAAGTTGAATATAATACAGTTGGGGTTTGCAGATGACCTACTGTTGTTTTATAGGGGAGATTTGGTATCTACTAAACTACTGTACAAGTACTTTCAGTAATTCTCCCTGGCATCTGTGTTGGTAGCCAATCAAGGGAAGAGTGCTGTCTACATTGGAGGTGTGCCAGACCAGATTCAGCAGTAAATAATACAAGAGTCAGGATTCTCTGTGGGATCTCTCCCCTCCAGGTACCTGGGAGTTCCACTCAGCTCAAAAAGACTAGCAATTGGGCAATATCAACCATTAATAGAGAGGATGATAAGGAAAGTAACCTCCTGGACATCAAAGTTTCTATCCTATGCAGGTACATTGCAGGTGATCAGAAGAGTACTCACAGCCATCTAACAATTTTGGTCTCAAATATTCATCCTGCCCAAGAAGGTGATTCAGAGGATTGAACAAGTGTGTCGGAGATTTCTACGAAATGGAAATTATGAATGCTCAAAGAAGGCTCTAATAGCTTGGGACAAACTCTGCTTGCCAAAATCAGCAGGTGGTCTCAACATACCAGACATCTACACATGGAATAAAGCTGTCATACTTAAACACTACTGGAACCTATGTAAGAAGAAGGATAAGCTTTGGATACAATAGGTGCATATCTACTATACTAAGGTTAATGAAGTATGGGAAACCACTGCTACACAAGAATCTTGGCTGATTCAGAATAACCTAAAGGATAAACAATACCTGGAGAATGCATGACTAACTGTCAAGGAATTTTTGAACTGTGAGACATATGTTATAAAGACAATGTACAATAAGCCGAGAGACAATTATTTTAAAGTACATTGGAGGAAGTTGATGTGCAACAAGCAGGTCAGCCCCAAGTGATTATTCATCATATACCTTGCAATACAAGACAGACTATATACAAGGACTAGATTGCAAAAATGGGGTATGGGATATGGAACGACCTGTCCATTATGTGATAGCGTTGATGAGGATGTGCAACACCTGTTCTTAATATGCCCAGTTACATACCAGATTTGGCAACAGATCCTCCAGTGGCAGGGAATTCAACGCCATGCTATGGAATGGCAGGAAGAAGTTGAGTGGGTGCAAAAACATGCCTATAGTAACAATGAAAAAGCAGAGACATACCGAACGACCCTTGCAGGAAGTGTATACTATACCTGATTAGAAAGGAACAACAAAATCTTCCAACAAAGAACCAGACCAGCAGCAACTACAGTAAGACAGATCATTCAAGACATACATTGCAGAGGAAGAAAGAGGAAGAAATTGAAAATCCAGTTGAAGAAACTTGACTACTACCCTAGTTAGTTTGTAGGAAGACATAGCCTAGTTTTCAACTCTATCTTTTTGTATGGCTGTAGGTGAAGTAATAAAGTTGGACCTTGGGGTTGTGGTCCAACTTTAGCGGTTTCTGTGCACTCTGTAAATGTTTCCTTGGTAATAAAATTTATAATTACCAAAAAAAATTATTCGAACTTTAAAATTACACAAGTCAAAATTCACCCTACTAACTTGTTAGACCATTGATATAATATGAATCATGAAACATGCTTATTTTTCATAAAAAATTAAGAAACAGGAAAATTACTCTCTAATTTGGTCCTTCCATTAGCTCACAAGATCCACAATAAGTCTTAGGCTTCGTTCGTTTTATTAAAATAAAAATATTTTAATATTAATATACTTCAGATTATTAAGGTATCATATCTAATTTTGAACACCAATATGTAAGATAGTTTGTTTCTGATCGTTTGAAAGAGTTTAATTCATCTGAAAACTAAGAAATATAGAATTCAAATAAATTAATAACAATTATTATATTCACAAAATATTAGAAAAGGCTATTAAATTTGTAGGACCGTTCCTTGTATTTTGGCGATTTAAGGGCCATGAAACAAGAATTTAGACGATTCTTAGATTTCGTGTGCTATAATCACGCCATCTGCATGAATTCGGGCGGTCTCCTAATATTTTGCAGGCCCATAAAAAATTACCTAATGAAAAATAATCATCGTTTCGCCATGACCGTACCTTAATGTTTTTTTTTGGGTTTTTAGGGCCATAAAACATGAATTCAGTACGATTCCCATATTTTTTATGTTATAGTCCATACCATCTGCATAAATTCAGGCTCCAAATCTCCTAAACGTTTGCGGGCCCATAAAAAATGACTGAATGAACAATGATCATTACTTCTCCATGACCATTCCTCGTCTTTGGTGTTTTAGGGTCATAAAATAGGAATTCAGGACGACTCCCATGTCACACCTCCTTTTTTTCTACACCCCGGAAAGGGTATAAGAGAGTTTTTCCAATTTAAGTGACAATCGAAACGAGATTTATTTATTAGAGATTCAGATTCGCCACTTGGGATAATTTTATGATGTCCCAAGTCACCGGTTCAAATTCTAAATCGAGGAAAAGATTGACTCCGTTTTACAGTCCGCGAACAGAAATTCTGAATAAGGAATTCTGTTAGCCTGAGGGAAGGTGTTAGGCACCCCCGGATTCCGTGGTTCTAGCACGGTCGCTTAAACTATTGCAATTGGCCTATTATCTGATTTTAATACATGTTTTAAACATATGGTGCAATTTTTAGCTTATTAACCGCTTTCAAGTATTTTAGGGAAGGCTTCAACGTCATCTAAAACACATCTTTGGACCATGCCACATGAAATGCACCCGCTGTCCGAGACACATTTTATTTAACGTTGCTAAGATTTGGAGTTGGGTCACATGAAGTGCACACCCGAATTTGGAATTAGGCATCGCAACTATGTCACGGGAACCGTACCCATAGCCACGATAATTTATTAATCGCGCCTAAAGCAAGCTATGATGTTCATAAGTATTTTCCTAAGTTTCGGATTATAAGCTTAGAGGACTCATTCTTAAGTTCTATAACTCAAGATATTGGTTTTGGGCCTTGCACCAAAGCTAAACCCAACACAAAATAGGAAAACAATTTCGAATCCCATTTTTCGGCAGCAAGTAAAATTCCTATAGCTACTAATAGGCCACTCCCATTCAATTGACGCTAAACAAAAATTAGGAAACTAAGTTTTTAATTATTGTTACAAAACGAAATTACCAAGGAATAGTCAACAAATACTCTCGTCACAAAATCCAATAACGAAGCCATCATTTCAAGGGATATTCATTTTCAAGCAAAACAAAGAGCTATCTAAACAGTTAATTCTTTCAATTAAACCCAACGCCTCACACTTTCAAAAGGTCTTAGAGAGCATAACCTCACGCCAAACTTTAAAGCATGCACCACTCGAATACATATAACCACATTCAAAGCATGAAGCATTCATAAATCAAAACCAAACATGAGCTGCAATCACTATCAATTTTGAAAGAGTAGATGGGAATAGAATAGACCTATGTATTGAATTTGAGTTAAATTACAACCAACTTGGAGATTAATCAGCTCTCGACCGGAACACTTACCAACGACCTCGGCGAGTGAACTTTCAATTTGGTGATTTTGGAACTGTTTGCAGCTGGTTTTGCTGCTGGTTCGATGGCTGTTTCTGGGCAGTAAAAAGGCGTGAGGATTCAAATTCCGGCGAGATGGCCGGAGATGACTGTTGTTGCTCTCAAAGATTGAGAGAAATCTTGTATTCCAAAGGGGAAAAGGCTGATTTTTCTTAGCAAATGAATCTCTCTATTTTTTTTGTCTTTCTTTTGCTGATCTCTGTTAGCTTTCGAAATTAAAAATGGCTATGGTAATTTTTCTTTAAGAAGAAGATCAACTTTCAAGTTAAAGGAATTTGGCATTGTCTGTTGTTAAAGGTTTTGAGGTGACGACTCTCCAATTTTGGAATTGGAGTTGAGGTTGCCGATTTTGTGTGTTAGCTAGATCTAGGAATTGCAATTTTTTTAAGGGTAATGTTTCTATAATTGGGTATTTTATATGGAGGTGGGAACGAATGATGACCATTGGATTAGAAAGAAATAGATGGCTAGAATTAAATCTTGCACTTAAATAGGCTAATGGGCTGGGAAGAATGGGCTAAGGGTAATTGGGTTGGACCATGTCTTTTGAGTTTGAACTTAGGCTAAAAAGACCAAATAATACAATGTATCTATAAAATTATAAAAATCATTCTAAATTAAAATTGACTAATATAAAACTAAATACTACGAGTGAAACTAATTTTTTTGTATTTTCAAATGTTATAATACTATAAATATAAATATACAAATTGACTTTAACCTAAAGATGAAAATATTTATTTTATTTTTTGTGATAAAATAAAGTAAAAGAATCAAAACTATTTAAAATAACGATAGTAAACCTAAACTAAATATTTTACGCTAAAAATGTGTAAAATCTTGGGGACGGGACATGCAGAGCTTGTGACCTCAGCCATGTCTTGAGCAACTCACGTCTTTCATCAACTTCTGTATTTAGATTCACTTCTTGCCTTTCTTTTTTTCTTTTTATTCTGGATTGTGACTACTTATGTTGATCATCTTGGACTGTTGACTCGCATTCTTGATGCGAGTTTCTTTTGTTACTGACTTGAATTGCATTCTGAAGTGAATTCCCTTGTTTTCCAGGTGGGAGCCTGATTGCTGAACTTGAACCGTCTTCTCTTGTTACTTGAAACGGTTTTCCCTTGCACCTTGAACCATTTTCCCTTGAAACTTGAATCGTCTTCCTTCGAAACTGCTTTCCCTTGAAATTTGAACTATCTTCCCTTGTTCTCCACGTGGGCGCCTGATACCACAACAAAACAGACAAAACAAAAGAAACTTTTTTGCCCCATTTTTGTACCGGAAACATTTGTCAGTGTTAATCAAATCCTGTTATCCAAAAGAGTTCTATAGATTTAAAAGTTAAATCTCATTATCCAAGAGGGTCCTGAAAACTAAAATTAAATCTCAACTTAAGAGTGAAAATTGGAAATCTAAATTCTATTTCCTAAAAGTAAAACTTACGCTAAATCTCATTGTCTATGAGGGTCCCGAAAACTTGAAACTACATCCCATTATCAAGGAGGGTCCTGGTTTCAAGACAACTAAAGATTGATAACTTAAGAAAACCAAAATTGACCCCCTTTTTTCTCTTTTTCTTTTTTTTTTCAAATCTAGACTTCCTTTTTTTCCAGTTTATCCTAGGAGAAAATTCGTCAGACTAGGTTTTCTATCTTAGGAGAAGGATTCACCAGACTAAGACATTTATCCTAGGAGAAAATTCATCAGACTAGGTCCTTTTTTTTGCTTTTGGTATCTTATGAAAGATTCATCCGACTAAGACGTTTATCCTAGGAGAAAATTCATCAGACTAGGTTTTCTATCTTAGGAGAAAGATTTATCAGACTAAGATTTTGATCCTAGGAGAAAGTTCATCAGACTAGGCTCTTTTCTTATCTTAGGAGAAAGATTCATCAGACTAAGATTTCTACCCTAATAGAAAATTCATCAGACTATGTTTCCTTTTTTTGGTATCTTAGGAGAAAAATTCATCAGACTAGGACGTTTATCCTAGGACAAAGATTCATCAGACTAGGTTTCTTATCTTAGGAGAAAGATTCATCCGACTAAGATTTCTATCCTAGGAGAAAGTTCATCAGACTAGGTCTTCTATCTTAGGAGAAAAAATCATCAGACTAGGGCTTTTTATCCTAGAAGGAAAAATGTTAAGATCAATGGCAAGATTTAATGCACAATAGCAAGATAAATAAAGGCAAAGATTTGAGAAACTTCCCTTTATCGGCTCTTCTCTTCTTTTCTTTTTCTTTTTTTTTTTCTTTTTTCTTTTTTTCAACCACATTCCTTCCAATGCTTTGTTCTTGTTTCACACAAAGAAAAATTTGAAAATGGTGGTCGGTTTGTGACCTTGAGTCTTGGGCAGCTTGGCTTCTGCTCAATTAGCTTGAGTTGGCTTCAATAGACTTTTGCTCTGCATTAATCCTAATTGTTTCACACCTAGTATCATATGTACTTGCGGCTCAATCAGCCTTATCTCAACTGGAGATCTTTGCCTAGTTGACCCTTTCCAATATCTTGAATGACTTTCTGTTTTTTGAGCAATTTGTTTGTCAAAGAGAATTACCAGTTATCTTTCTTGCACCAAGTAGGCTGAGAATAGTCTTTTTGGGGAAGCCTTTGTATGAATCCTCAAGGTATATTGACAGAAACAACTTAGTGCTGGTCAAATTTGCTTTATGCAATTGAAAAGCTGGTAGCAGATTTTGAAATCTTTTCTTGCTTGTTTTGACAAGGACCAACTCGGAGTGAAGGACACAATTATGCAAAGAAACAAGTATTAACAAGAAATGCCCCTGTTGGAAAGACAGAAGGAAGAGTTCTTTTTTCTTTCTTTTTTC